GAGTTGTCCGCAAAAGGTGGCGGCAAAGGTGCAGTGCGGTCAATGCGTTATTTGCAATTCATTGCAGCCATGGGAATCCAAATGGGAAAAGGCTGCCACAGGGGGTGGCATGCGGACTCAGGGAGTGTCGGAGGAAGGGGGTGGGTTAAAAACAGATGGAGCCGGCTAGGCGACACACGAATGCGGGGTTGGGGCAGCCAAAGAGACACCGGTTATGGTCCGCTTTCGGGCTTATGGCTTAATTTTTGTTGCTGTTTCTGTCGCTGCCGCTGCCGCTGTTGCTGTTTGTGCCACACATTTCGCAAGCAATTTAAATGCTAATCAATTTGCCGCGTTTCACGCTCCGCCTGCAACAGTACTCCGTGGCTGCGTGGCAATGTGCCCCGTGCTCGCAATCGAAACAAATCCTCCCGCCGAAAACATCGAGGCCCACAATTCAAACAAACAAAGTCGCCAAGAATTATGAAAAGGCCGGCCAGGAATGTTGCACACAGGGCCCGGTGGAAGCGGAAAGCCAAATGAAATAATAATCACAGCCAGGGCAAATAAATATAGAGTGAGGAGAGACAGATTCCAGGGAGACCTATAGATCACTAGAAATATATACTATTCAAAGTCTATTCTCTCCTTAAAGTTCCTTGAAATACCTTTAAACTTACACCAAAAACTATGCAGTTTTTGCATAACTCTGCTGGGGGTCTGTTGGCTTTTCTAGACCAGACCAAAAATCAAACAAGCTCTGGCCAGAAGGTTGAGGGGGACATTCCACCAAATGGACGAGAAAAAGTTATGACCGATGTGCAGGTTAAAAAAATGCAACACGTACCATTTGAATAAAATGTGTGGCGGTAGTACCAAGTGCCGCAGCGATAAGGGGAGAGAGTGGAAGTTACAGATAACGTCCAAAAAAATATTAAAAAAAAGTAGAACAAAGTTTGATTTATGAGTTTTATTTGTAGATTTGTAAAACCGGAACTGAAATCGGTTAGATAGAGGGACGGCATCACAAAAATACTTGAGAAGGCTTTTATTCACCAACATCGTCCGCTCTTAGAATATTTTTTGCTTCCGAAGAGGAGCTTAATTTGATCCAAAGATATCATGGAACTGAATGAAGGTAAGTTGAAAACTTCTTCGCTGATTTTTAAAAACAGCGCCCGAAAAAAATACACTTTAATAAGGATGATAAAAAAAGACTTTCAGCAGATGGAGTAGCGAATAGAAGGCAGCAGAAAAAAAGGAAAACAGGACCAAGATGAAATTGCATTATGTCGATTTTGTGGATTTTCCTATGCAAAGAGCAAAAACGGATGAAAAAAATAATGAAAAAAATGTAGACGAGGAAGAAGCTCCACTGCTCCGGCTGCAAGTGGCTCGAAAAAGTGCCTCAAGATGTGGCAACATTGGTCCAGGACAGCAGTTACTTTGCATCTTCTGGGGGGGACACAAGGACGATAACAAAAAAATGAGCAAAGTCAGTGAAGAAGTGGGGATAGGGAAGTTTTCATTGGTTTCGGCTGCGGACTGATGAAGCTGAAATGGCTGCCAGGTATCCTTTATCCTTTGTAGCCCGTCTCATAAAAATCATTCATTTGCAAAAAGCCAAATTGCCAAATGGCAGGACCATCGAACTGAATTGATAAGGAATGTTATGAGCTTTTCAGGATCTAAATAGAGTTCCGATTAAAGTACTCCTATCTCTGCTTCAAAGTCCACTGTGTGCTCTACTTTTTATTAATTTCATTTTTATTTCCTCTGCTTTATTGATATTGGATGCTGATCAATAAAAACACCATTAAAGTGTCCAATATTTCTTTGAAGTTGATGAATTGTTTCCAGAGATTAGAGTATTTTATAGCGCAGCCTCTGACAGGCTAATCTTTGAAAATAATTATTTGAATTTGGGTTGAATATTGAACCGTTTCTGGGAAAGAATACTTTATACTTTTGTGTGTGTATGTCAGACCACCCAAGACCTGAGTAAGCCACCTTCTAACCGACTTACAAGACCACAAAATTCTCCCCGGGCTTATCCAGTTTAAAGTTGAGTGCCTCGCCCAATTCCCCAGGGGATGATGCGGCAAGTTGGGCGTGTTTTTAATTGCCAAGGACAATTAAAAACAATTTTGCAGGCACAAAAGTTGGCAATAAATTTAATTGGCCCGCTGCCGTTACGCCCATTGATTATTTTCGGTATGGGCGGGGCACCAGGCCAGAGCCGAGCACTTTCACACCTCGTGACAAGGTGTCCTTGGGGCGGGGGCGCTACCACCGTCTTGGAATCGGAATTTGAACTGGCAAGGGGGATGGCAGACTGTAGATGGTTGATGTTGGTTTTTCCAAAAGGGGTCTAGGCTGGAGTACAGAGGATGGGGGCGGCAATTTATGCGGCTGTCAGTTGCAGGGGCAGCTTGGATTTTTATTGGCACCCGGCACGCAGCCAGAACTCGTTCGGGTTCCTCTCAAGTAATTGCATCGAGCACATAAATCAATTGAATTGCATTTTCATGCGACAAGTTTGGCCAACCCCCGATTGTCTGCAAGTGAAGTGAAAGCCAAAAGCTTCTACTTTCTCCTTTCTCGCCTTGACTGCCCCCCGAGCGTGGCATAATCAATTGAAATCGCAAGCAATGCGTCAGTACCAGTCCCAGTAATCCCCCCAAAACTTAAATTCAAACTCAGAGTCAACCCTCGGTGAAGCTCCCCCGATTTCCGAGCACGTAGCGAGATTATCGGCAACTTCGTTTATGGCTTATCAAATTAAATGATTAATGTTTTCTCTTTCGTTCGTAACGTCTTGTCGCTCCTGGAAAATGTCAGCAACAGTTTTCAGTTTCTATTTTCCAATTTCCCTTATAGCTGGAGTTTTTCTGTCTTTGAGTTTTTCCAACTTGGAGTTCAACTGCTTTTCGTGTTGCGGTTGTCGGTTTGGTTTCTCAAATTTTTCTCGAGACACATTTTATTGCCAAAGTTGTTGTCTGCGGCGACCTTTTATGTTTTAAGTTGATTTGAGGTTGAGGGGATAACTAGATAACTAGCATTCAGGTGTTTTTTGATCATCCAGTACTCTAGCTCCTCATGAATATCCTCTAAAGTTACTTCCTGCCTAGTTACTTGACATCACTGCATAAGTCCTTGCTCCTTGTCAGGCTGGCTGGCCTGAAATTTTTGAAATTCCATCAGGATACAGAGCCCCGATCCTCGCAAACACACACATCACATTAATCAGTCAGGGCGGACGGACAAATACGCACTCGAAATACGAAAGTATAACTCATCAGGGCACAAATTACAAAGACAAACGATGACTGACAACCGCAAGGCTTTTTCGGCTGTCCCACTGTGGGCTGGGAGATGGGAAGGTGGCCCTGGGGGCGCTACTGGGGTCACCACTTAGCACCCACAATCCAGCAGAGCTGCAGCGAAAAGGGAGATGAGAGCTGGAAGACGGGCGGCCCTGGGTCGCAGCAGCGTTTTTGTTAATTAAACAAATGCCGCAGTGACATGTGCACATCACGACGAGAGATGTGATGACTTTGCCGGGCTCGGTTCTGGTTTGGGTTTGGGTTTTTGGGCTGCTGCGGTTTGTGCATCTGCATTCTGGGTGGGGGTTGCTGGGTGGCACTGAATTCTGGCTGCCACACTCACACACACCCTTGGAAAGACACTGCCGGGGAAAATTCCGCTTCACAAAAGCGCACACAAATAACTGAGGAAAACAGGCGACATTGCCGACAATGGCTCTGCATTCAATTTAATTTATTTCAATTGCAACGGAATTATTACGACAGACGACAAAGTGCCGTCGCAGAGCAATTTGCTCAGCTTCCTCTGACACAGTCCTCTTCCCTGTAGTGTCCCCAACCCTCTTACTTTATCGCTTTTTTAGGGAATTGTTAATAAACAAATTCATGCGCCAAGAAAGTAAGAGCCGCCAGTGTCGATTTCAATTAAACAGACGCGTGGCTCCCGTTGGCCCCTCCAGTCGATAATGACCACAGTGGTGCAGCCCAAGGGGGGTCTGACATCCCCAGGAGCAGTGCCAGCAGAAACTTTCACAGCAGCCCGGCGGTCAGGAAGTTGCAGACATTTATTTCCTAAGAAAATGCACAATGGTTGGCAAGTCTGCATTGGCAAACTGGGATAAAGCTTTAAAGGCGATTTATTTTTTTAAAGAAGTGCAACCCTTTTAAGAATTAAATATTCTGTATTAAACGACTACCTTAAAGGAATTATTCAAAAAAATTATAAGATTAGGGAGGTATATAGAAACACATCTGGAAAGACTTTAAAAACATATATCTATCTTTCTAGCAAAGTTTTCTTGACTTTATCCTTTAAATACTATTAGAATTCTTTATAAAATTATAAAAAATTTTAACTATTTATATATTTTTTGTGTCTATGTTCCACTGTAAAAAAAGTAGTATATGGTCCCCAATTCCCTGGCCCATTCCGGGGAACTGCAATTTCGCAATGCCAACCCATCGTGGGTGGCCACTCAAATATCGCAGCCATTCTTGCTTTTATTTCGCACTGCTTTTTGCCATTGTTGCTTTTGTTGCTGGTGCTGTTGTTTGGCTTGCCCAGTTTCAAGTGTAAATTAATTTATGAGGCACACCATGGAGTCGGCGCCAGGCTGCGGTCACAGAGATCCCTGTCTCCCCAGCCCTCCGGCCGCCAATCTGACGGGCCCCAAAAAAGAGGGGAAATGTCAGCCAGAGTGTGAAATTTCATATTTGAATACTCGCCAAAACGTTGACAAATGAAGTCTGCATAATTGGCTAACATTCGGTTATGGAATTCGAGAGCTTTTGGTCAATACGGGAGTGCACAGTAAGAAATAATAGGGGGGTTGTAAAGAGTTTACCCTTTCAAGATAAGACTTTAAAAAGTTAAACCCTTCTAGATATACCTCTTTAATTTCTATTTATGATATCTAAGGAATGAAACTTTTAGATTTTATTAAGTTTATTTTATTTAGGAATAACCTTACTCACCTTTCAGTGTACCGATGAAAAACAGAGCGGCCAGTAAATTGAGTTGCCCGAACATGTTGATGGCTGAATGGGGCTTGCTTTCTGATTCTGATTCCGGTTCTGATTCAACGACCTCCTGTTCCTGCTCCTGCTCGGATATCTGTAATGAAATAAGGCGCAATGAAATACAAAAAAAAAACAAATATGTAAATAATTATTTATTGTTCTAGACACTCCTGTGAGTCACTCCAAGCGACAGAACAGACGGCAATTTGTTTGCTTGTTTGGCCGAGCATAATAGAGATATTTTTAGGAGGAGGGTTGGGCCCCACAGCCCCGAAAATAAATACAAAAAAATAATAGAAGCAAGTGCCACCAGCGGAAGAGCGCCAGCTGTCACCTGTGATCTGTTACCTGTTACCTGTTAGGCTATTACCCGTTACTGTCATCATTCAAATGTTATTTTCCAACGGCCCAGCCTGGTCTGGTATGGTCTGCTCTGGTCTGGTCTGGGCCGTGCCACAAATTGCTGTTTGACATGCCACCTGACGCTAATCAAAACTACACATGCACTTTTTGGGGGAATCCCCCTGGCCCCTAGAACCAGCCACTCCCCCGCAACTGGCCCCCTTTGTACGGCAATTAAGCTTGGTTTTGTGTTTCGGGGTCTGCTAAATTTTCATTACTGCGGCCCATTGTGTGGGGGCCGAGAAGGGATTTGAATTCGATTTGGAATCGGATTCGAACCTCCGCCTCCCTGTTCAATGATTGTCATCGTAGGTGTGACTAATTGTTGGTCATTTATCTTCTTTGCTTTCTTCTCCGGCTCCGATGCTTTTTTCTCCGTGTACCGGCCAGAGTGGAGCCTCTTTGTTTTTCGGTTTTCCATGGAACTCATGAATAATTTCCGTTCCAAATGGAAAGGTTGGGCTTTGCTTTATCTTCCTCCCTCTACCACAGAAGAATTTCCGTCGCCTTCTGTCTCTAATTGATAGATAATTGAAGGTCTCGGGTGCGGGGGCTGATCAATTGGCCAGAGGCAGTCTCCAGATGATGAATGAATCTGCCTGATTGAGTGAGGGATAAGATGGTGCTCAACCGGCACATGAATGGAGATTCTTTAGCCCTGATTCTGGATTCTGTGCTCGAGTGATGTCATCTAGAGATTTCTTGGTTAAACAGAAGTCTTTTTTCCTCCGAAGTTATCAATCGAAGAGGCCTTGCTTATCAGTGGCATTAATAAAGATTTGTGGGCTTAACCATTTAAGCCACTGTGGACTAATTTGTGTAGCATTTCAGTGAGGAATCTGCCTGTCAATTTTATTTCAAATACTTAATAAACAGATATTCAACTAGAACTAGGAATACTTCCTTGAAGTGTCACAATATCCGGGTCATAGCATTTTGATTGACAAATGCAAAAGACATTTATGGTGCGGATGGAACAAAATCAAATACATTAGAGCCTCGAAAGACTGCCAGTTCTGTTCGCATGCAAACTTTGGCCATTCAACTAAAATAAAAACTAAACTCCAACTAGTGGCTCTGACTAGCCCCACTATAGTGTGACTTGCACATCCGTGTATCTTCGGGTGCTCGTTTGTATCCGTATCCGTATCTGTATCTGCGCCTGTTCGCTGCCACCGTAAACAAGTCAACAAGGAGCGACTGCCATGGGCAACAGCCCCTCCTCCCCGCCGGTCTATTGTGTTGAATGTACACCCCCGCACCCCACCCCTCAGGACAGGTGCACAAAACTGTGAGCCCTAACATCACACACGTCTCATTTTCCTTTTTTTTTGGCTCGAAAGCAAACTAATTTCAAAGCAAATGCGATACAGTCACAAGTGACGGAGACGACTCCCCAGCCGGTTGTTGGGTTTCCTTTGGTGGCCCAGGTGGGGCAGGAGGCCGGGTGGTGGTGCTCGTATATCAGCCTGTCAGTGATACCCTGTCTGAGGTGTGTCCTTCTCATACTTCAGTTTACAAAATGAAATTTTAATGTGGTTCTTTTGGACAAAGCACATTAAATATTAGTCGAGTTATATTAAATTAAATATTTTAAATTATTAAACCCTTTTCTCACAGTGCCATTTATCTTTTAAACTGATCTTTAACCTTGCAACACTCGCGTGCTTTTTTTTGGAAGCCTCATTTGCATAATTCTGTCGTTAAGTGGCGGAAAAGTGTAATCGAATGAACGAGTAGATAGCAGAGTCTCGCCCACAAGGGCCTCCCTAACCTTCCTCAATTTGTGTCCTTAACAAAAAATTACAAGAAATGAGAAAAAATAAATTTAAAGACATTTTCGGCTCATTAGGAAAATCATTTGATACAAAAACCCAGCCCCCCTTGGACAAAAGTCAGGACAAACAATGAAAAAGCCATCGATGTCCTATGGAATGATATTCTGAGAACTTTTATTTTTCCCACTGTGGTTGAGGGCGTTTTTAGTTTCAACAGTGACCCCCTGATCTAACAAAGAAATGTGTAAAAATTCTATGGAAAATGAAATGTTGCCAAGGTCCTCTGTTCATTTCCCCACAGGCAGTGGAAAATTGAAAAGTTATCAATTACCGCTCCTCTTTGAGTGATTGACTTTCCGACTTTCCCTCTCCTTCGATTGAAAGTGTATAGTAGCATATGCCAAAAAATGTTTTGTTCTTCGGGCTTCCCCCTCGACAGCCGCACATCCGCACATTTTCCGAGCTTCATCAACTCAGGTTACCATTTCATGGCCCGAAGCGTATTGGGGTAATTGAATTTTGGTTTTTGGCCAAGCTCCTGATGAGCTGGAGTTTTGGTTTTGAATAACTGAGGTAGCAGCCGTGTTCAAATTACAAAATTTTGCCAAAAAAAAAAAATGCCACTATGAAGTGCAAAACGTTACCAAAAATCTATCTCGTATGAAAGTCATAAACACAATCCTAATTGGGTTTTAAAATAATGCACTGGCGTTTAAATTAATTGTAACTAATTGTGTATGTTGTCCAATGATTTATTCAAATAACCATGTTCAAATCACATCCAATAAGCGGGATGTTTATGAATATTAACCCACAACTCCACCACTTAATTCGACCTCACCCACTCAGCCACTTGACTTGATTGAAGGCAGATCAAATAGCCGAATAAAAATTATTCTAATGGGGATTAATTAATAAGTCTTTCCATAAATAACAGAATGTATTTATAGATCGGTCTGGGCATTCCATTAGAGGGCAAAATGAAGAAGAATCTGTTTTTTAGAATTTATTGCCAATGCGTGGGCGGGTGGGGAGGCGCTCGAAGACTGTGGCCACTTGCCGCGTTGCCAAATCGATTTCAAAACTTCATAAACAAGCGGCGAAAAGAGGAATTCCCCTTCGGCACAATTTGAGAAATCTCCGTTCGGACAATAAACTGGGAGCAACAAAAACACATTGAATTTATAAACACCGAGCCAGCAAGCAGTTTGGGCCTTTAATTTGTTTATTTTGTGCTAAAGAGCAACACGCATCGAGTGCCATAAAAAATCAACAGTCTCGGGCGGGGGCTTCTGCTGGGAGTGGGGGGGGCCAAGAACTTACAAAATTTATAAACTGTGCAAACTCTAACCGGGGGGGCGGAGAGCCATAAAAAAAGGCAAACTGAGTCGAAATATTTATGCAAACGTCAATTGGGCTGCAATTGAATTGAGCCACGAGGCATGGCGCATGAGGAATGAAACATGAGGCAAGAGGCACGTATTTCGAAGGCCCCATGCTCCATTTCGAGGGTTACTTTCAAGGGATACCCTACATTCGGAAAGGGTTTTCGGACCAGACACCTATAGAGAGAGTTCATTTGACTGAAAACCAAAAACTAAAACCAGATATTATTGGTTCACACTCGGCTAGACTAATTTCCAATTTGCAACTAATTTCAAAATCATTTTGGTACAGCCCCCCTCCTTTTTGTTAGAGCATTTTCGAATCGATCAGCGATGAGTTTTCATTTGTATTTTTTATTAGGACCCCCTCCCAACTACCTACTACCAGCTACTAGCCCGCCCAAATTGATACACAAGTCAGACAACGTGACGTATGAGTGATGATGCGTGAGGGGCCACGCCCACCTCCTATCGACGCCCACCCTCGGTGTAAACATTCGATTCGATGGCATAGCATATGAGTTCCATATTTGCTGTGGAGCCTGTTCAGGAAAAGTGCCCGATAGATGGAAAATTAGGTTGCAACGACGCCGGCGCCTATTCGGGAGAAAAAAAGGAGGAAAACGGCGAAAAGCGTTTCCACTGGCTTGCTTGTTTATGCCACTTGAGGCAAGTCCGCTCCCACCCCATCCAGCCCCTCCACCACTAATGTGCAGCGTTTGATTGACTGACGAGCGAACGAGTTGAATGATTGTCGGCTGCACATATTGATTTGCATCTGTACTCGGTACTGGGTATTGCCCATTTTCCGTAATTTGCCTTACACAATGCCACAATTTATTTGATTGATATGCCTCATGTGCCGCTTCCACATAACCATAGTATGTGTGTCGCCTATATATATATGGCATATCATATGAATTTATGAAAATTATTTTCCTTGGCTTTTCGCCATTTGTTTGCCGCTAATTTGACTGTCAATCAATCGATGACTGCGATGAAAAAGTGCGCTTTTTTTATCCCTCCCTGCCACGTAAATATTATTCTGTTTGTAAATTCTGTGCACTATATAAACGAGGCTCGCCCCACCATTTGTTTCATATAATTTGCTGACGTTCAATATTTGATTTCATTTGTGCATAAATATTTTGTATTCAGGAATTACCACACTTTTTGTTTGCCAGCTGACCTTTCCATCACGTATCGCTTTTTGTAATGACATGGATATATTTGCAAAAGTCGACTCTTTAAAAGTCACCAGCTTTATTGGCAGATGCTTCTAGATTTCAGAAAATAAATTTGAAAATATTTACGTTAAGGCAATTTCAATCAACTCCTTGCTGGATTGCTGGCTTCCTGGCAGGCCACTTTGTGCATCAATTTTTCATTGAATTTCTGATTTTTATATTAAAATAAATTCCATACACAATGTCCAGGGCAAGTGGAGATCAAATTAATTGCCAGAATGCAATCTTAACAAATTCGGAAGGCCTGGCAACGGAAGGAAGCCAGGACCGAAGGGACAATGCTTCTTATTTAACTTGGCCCCAGCCAGCTCAATTGGGAATATGCCATAAATTTGCAGAAAAATGAAAAACAGAGTGAGGAAAAATACGGTTTTCTGTGTAAAATATATTTTAGTGTGTGTCTTTGGTTTTTGGCCCGGAACAACGCCATCGTCATCATCATCTTGGCCATCATTTATTCATGACAATTTTTGCTTCTCGCAGCTGCAGCCTCCCTGGAAAATGAAATGAAAACGGAGTCACAGCTACAACTACTTCTGCTATGCCGAGTGTTTTGAGGTGAAAACCGACCCAATCGTATTCCTGCAAATGAAAAACCCCCTCATCGATAATGCAGGCGAGAAACCACAGGCAGAGTAAAGCAATTTTCAACCCATAAATGAATTCCATCCTCTTGTCACTCCTCCGCCCGCATGGATATTTATCCATAACATAGTTAAAACAGGGTCCCCGAGAAGAATGCGTATTTTCCATAACTTTACTTGCCAACTTGCCACTTGGGATGGCTAATGCCTGTTCTGTTCGCCCACCTGACCCACCTGAAACCCAAACTGTGCAAATGAGTTGGCCACAAAATGTCAGTTACAAACACCTCTCCTCCGAACTTTCTTTACCCCGTTTACAAGCCGCAGAAACGCTGAAAAATGTGGCAGGAGTTGGCACAAGTTTCGTTTACTTTTTTCCCCTTTTCTGCAAATAAAATCAATCAATTTTCGGTATGGCAAGTGACATTGGAAACCAGCAAGGCAGCAGTCTAAGTGCTTCTACGACACTGAAATCTATTTTCCAAAGGTGTTGACTGCAACAGGAGATTCCTTTTTTAAAGGCAACTCTGATGATTAAATTTTAAACTATACTGCGGACTTATCGGGAGCTTTTTCTAACTGATTGCTGAGACGAGACTCCTTAATAAGTCATTGGGTTCTCCGGACAGACAGGACTCGGAACAGTAATTAATGAAATCAACTGGGGAAGCCCATCCTAGGCAATGCTCAAGTGCTGAATGATTTAAGAGTCCCAGACTAGAGTGCCCCTTTCCCTTCCCATTAATCCAATTTTTTCTCCGACTTTCGGAGAGAAGGGGTAGATTTCATTAACCAAAACCGCAAAAGAAGAAATGGGTCTGGGAATGGGAGTGGGAATGGGAAGAAGACCCATTCCCCAATTTCCGAGCCCTGTGTCGATTTCTGTGTAATGCCCGAAAATAAAAATCAATCAACACGTTCGCTTAATAGACCGTCGGCGCTCGTTGTCTCGTTCTTTGGTCTCAGATGTAAATGTATCTTGCAGATACGTTTTCGAGTGTTTCCAAAGTATATTCCAAAGTATTGCACAAAGACAAATTGCTTTTGTCTCTAATTTTAACACGACTTTGACGGGGTCCTCTTCTTTTCGCTTCGATCTTTCAGCCATTGGCTTTGTTTTTATATTTGTGCTTTAATTTGTTTGCCGTGGGAGTGAAAAAATGTTCACACGGTTAAGGGGTTTCTTCTCTGTTTTTCTCCGTCCGTACAGACGCTGTATCTTCAGGTTTGTTTGGAATTGATTGGCGCACGTTTTGCGCGTGGCTAAGCAAAAAATAAATAAAATAAAAAACAAAGAACCAGGCCCGGGCCAGTACAAAAGTTCAACCAATAACCCCAGACAGACAACAAGTGAGAGGAAAAGTAAAAATTTTTTATGGGTCCCGGACCCGGGGCTCCACGAAAAATGCATTCCAAAAAAACTTTACATTTACTTTTTGGGTTTCTTGGTCCGGGTTCTGCTTCAATCTTTATTGAATGCCAGTTTGCTTGTTTTTCCTTACATGGGGGGGCAGGGAGAAATGGTTCAGCACTTTGTGGGTGCTTAAAACAGCTGACAGGCCCCACTGACAGATTGATGTATGTTGCTGTTCCCCCACTTCCCCCTCCATCCCTTGGCCCGTCTCTGGTGAATCTTTTCCACACTCTTAATGAAAATATTTCTGTTTGTGCTATTTTCATTTGACTTTGCGGCCTGGTCGGAGATTTATGTCTTGGCCGGGATTCTGGCCCGCCCTCAACCTGAGTTCATTTTATTGGGAGGCTAATAGGGCACGCACGTTGACAATTGGTCTTAAATAGGCGTAGGCCCCTTCTTCTGAGTGGTTTGTGCTTTCCTAGTCTATGTTGTACAAGTTTTGGATTTGCTTTTTAGCCAAAAGGTCAACTAGAGGCACTTAAGTGGGGGAAAACCTCGGGAGATCAACGTCATTAGACTTAAGCTCATTTTTTCTGTCAGAGAGCTTCAGATACTGGAGGTTGGGCGAAGACCATCTTATCGCCTTATAGACGCTTTAAAGAGCTAAAAGAAGAAAGAGTTCTACAAACTAGTTAGGGATCACTTTGATCTTTAATCTTTAAAAATAAAATATTTACTATGATCACTTATGCTTCTAACTCATTTTCAAAAAGCTTACAAATATCAATTGCTTTTAGAATATTTTCAAATATTTAAATTCAAATAACAACATAGCTTATCTATAAGGGAAATTAAATTGATTTCCGACCCTAGAGTCTAGATGCACTTTCCCACCAAAACTAGTCCAATCGCAGCTGAACTCGCCGAGATTAAACCATTCGGATAGTCGTAAATTTATTCAAATCCGCTGGCAGCCCTTTGATATATTCCCGCCAAGGATTTGGCAAATTTCAAACCCATTTGCGCCCCAGCCCAGTCGGATTTAAATCCGAAAGCAAAACTTGCCAACGCATAAACAAATATGCCAAAAAAAAAATGTGTGGAAAATCTCGCGAACCCCCTGGACACAAAAAAAAAACCTTAGAGACAAAGGGGGAAAAGGAATCAGTTCCATTTGCTGACCCAAAACAAAACACAACAAAAAATGGCGAAAAAAAGGGACCGATCCCCCGATGGGGCGTGGGGCTGGCGGGGGCGTGGCGGCTTGCCTCATTGTGGGCTTTCGTGTTTATCTGAATGCAAATATTTGTTTGTTTACAAAAAGTTGCCTTTTTTCGATATATATTTTTGTTGTATTTTCTGCACTTTATTTTTCCTTTTCCATAAATATTTTTTCAGCCCCAAATTGTTGATATTTTTTAAAAATTGTTTTTATTGTTTCTGGTAATTGGGCTTTCACTTACTTTTAAATTTGCGACTCGACGGCGCTTGGAAGCTTCTGTTGGTTTTGTCCCAGTTCTGTTTACTTGGGCTGGCAGCTAAATGAGCGATTAGGATGCTAATTAATTGAACGAGGGAAGCACTAGAACACTGGGGTTTCTGATCTACTTCTTGACTTCTTGACTTTTCGGCTTTCGATTTTTTGGTTATTCAAATGCTGTTTGTGAATCAGCTGTTTGTGATCATCTTTCTTCTAACATTATACCGAAGAACTCGTTTCGTTTTGGAATATATCTTTCAGATGAACCTCTTAACACACACAAGTCTCACGAATGCACTTTTGGAACCGCTCACGCACGATGGTCGCCGAGGGGAGGAGCGACTGTTGGGGGTGGTGGTGGGTGGCCTCTGACCCGGTACACACACTCGCACAAAAGAGTGGAATATTTTTGAAATATTATTTTTTTATGAAATATTTTTTTTAAGCACGCGGAGCATGCTCACCGGCACCGAAAACCTTCCTCTGTTCTTGTCGAAGCACGACGCGCACTTTCGGACGTAACCGATGTAACGATGTAACGCGTTCGAATGCACAAACCTAAATGCGGGCCACGGAAGTCTCACTGCTGAACTCTAACGAAATTCTGGGCAGCCGAACGTCCACGACCAATGAGCCGCCCGAGCTCGAAGGCCGAACAGATACAAAGATACAATCCCGAATGCTCAGCCGATTCGGACGAGAGAGAGATGTTTGAAGCCGATTTTTTAACAGAGATGTTTGAACAAGTTATTTAATAGTAAAAATTTTAATATTTAGTCCATAATTTTTTATAAATTTTCAATCAAAAATTTCTTAAATTTTATATCTATAATATATTGTATCTTTTGAACTTAGAACCTCACAAATAATGTATCTTAAACATAAATTCTTAGGAGTTCACGGTTCCTGGGGCGCCCTCTACCGGAAGATAGCCCGAAACTCAGTCTTATACGCACTTAGAACATGTTGGTAACATGTTTGAGATACGTTCGATGCAACTTCCCCTGCAATCCTTTTAATTTTAACATTGTATTTTGTGTACCTTTTCAATATTTTTTTCGAATAATACCCTTAAGGATCCGCAAATCTTGGCTAATGATGGATAGGTTTACGGCAGCAAAATGGACGCAGTTTTTGCTGATTGGCGTTACCTGGAAGTCAAAGGAACATGACTGTGCATGTAGGTCAGGACTAAAAGGATGTTGGTATTATTAAATGTAAAATGAGAATCCTTTTTGAGAAAACTAACAGATAACCAGGTAATAATATTATGTTGGAAAGAAAAGGGAAAAAATGCAAGAAAATATGAATGAACTTACGTATCAGGCTTGTAAAATAAAGATTATATTACATTATAGCTTATAAATTTATTATTGTATACTTTTGCAAATACTTAATATATTTAACTAAATTATTATAAACTACTTTAAGGTCTAAGATTTAGACTCTAAATACAACATTTGGCATTTAAAATAAGAACATTTATATATATACATTTCTATTAATGCCAACTAAAACAAAATAAACCACATAAGGTTTATAACCACATAACCAAAAATAATAACCACATAACCAAAAATAAAATACTATAAGAACTAAAATAAATAGAATAAATATATTCCCAAGGAAATGGAATTATGTATTTTGTACTATCCTTTAGGATCCCCTGAAGACTAGGGATCATCTTGCTTAATGCCAATACCACACATCCGAGAGCATTTACTTGGCCACTTTATGGAGGACCCTTACATCCTGTCTGACAGCTAATGCGGTTGCCATCTTGGCCCCGATTTACCCCTTACCCGTTTGCCATTGGGAAATCCCGCAGGAGAATATCCTGGCCATATCTACTTATAATGTAAATAGCGGCACGCCCATAAAACAATTTGCCCCGACTTACAAATAACCCAACTGAACCCGAAGGCCAGAAAGAGGCAGCAACAAATTTAACACTTAATTGTATTAACAGGCCTCGTGTTACACTGGTGCAAGGGAGAGGGCAGAGTGTGGAAGGGAGAGGGTGAGAGGTAATCTCAGGCCAAAAACCAAATCCGGACGCGTGTCCAGTTTGTTGTTGTTTGCTTAGACAGTTTAGGGCTCACACAAAGGACCAATACAAAAGGGGCCGGGGCCATAAGGCCAAGAAAACAACACGAGAACCCAGAGAGAAAAGGAGCCATAAAGGCAGGCAGTGCGGTGGCAGGAGGCAGGAGGCGAAGGATAGCCCCGGTTTGATTGATGATTTTATGACATTGTTTACTCAAATGATGATGAGAAGAGTAAGGAGTCCGCAGATAGCCGGACAGCCATCCTTTGTGTCCTTTCAAGCCGGTGTCGAGTGAGATTCCCTCTCCGGACTAACGGACAGACGGACAAGCGGACACTCCTAATAATTTTCCACACTCCCTTTTTTATGGGCCTTCCCTGGAATGCTATCAATCTTTTGCTTATTAGGGATAATATTACAATTACTTGTAAGTGAGATAAGCCCCAGGCAGGCAAGAGTCCTGTTTGGACTCGGATTTATCCGGGTTCTTCTTGGGTTAAGTGCTCAAGTGGTTGCTTTGATCTCCAGATGGGTCTGGTGGTGGCGAGGGTGTTTTGTAAACAGATATCGGTTCAAGTGTGGAAGTCGAATGATTGACAAGAGAGAGCGGTTTCCTCTTTTGAAAGACAAGAAAGAGGCGCCTGTCCTACTTATTCTGATGAAAAGATATCACTGGCTCAAAAGTATCAACAGTTTTCGTTATTTTTGGAAAGAGTTTTGAGGATTCTTATGAAGTATCTTGGAGTTTCAAATAGTGGAGGTTTCTAACTGATCTCGCTTGACTTTCCCGTCCCAAACTCCATTGAAAAGTATCCTCCACCTTTCTTAGTTCCTCACACCTGTTCAACCTGTTTCAATTTAGTCATAACGCTGGACAGACTCTATAAACTATATATACCTGAGGCCAGAACCGCCCGCAGGTTAGGTTCGGTTTTGTGTTTCGTTTTTTGTGTTCCGACCGTTCAGCCAGGAAGCCAGCTGGTTCCATGGTCACTACACTGCCGCATGTCCTTTATCCTTTGTCCTGGCCTGGTTTGATGATAAATTAGACGGATGAAGGCAACGGAGGGAGGGGTCTTGGGCAGGACAGACAACATTTGCGGCTCTTTAGTTGGCCCTTGCCTTTCTTTTTGCTCGCTTGGCGCTCTTTCTTTACTGTTCCCTTTTTTTATTGCTTTATTATGGTCTTGGAGGCCAGGTCCTGTCTAAGGATATGTGTGTGTGTTGTGTATCTTTGAGGAGTAACGGATTCGATGAGTAGTTACACGAGCAGTTAATGGTTTGGTAATTGAAGGAGTAAGGTGACTATGTTTGTCTTTCGCGGTTTGTAAACCTTTGGTTATGTTTACCTTGGGATTATGTAAACGATTGAGTATATTTTTAAGAGTTTTCTATGTATGTTAAAGCATAGATTTTTCTTATAAAGCATTTATCAGCTGGTCTCTTTCCCGAAACCATAAAATAAAACAAGAACAGGATCAAACCCCGAACCGCAGAACAATAAAAATTAAAACACGTTTTCGATTCCACTCCAAAAAGTGGATGGACGCGGAGGTGGTATTTGAACACATGTCAAGTCATCAATGCTTATCTCCTTTTGGGGGAAATGCGTCTATATCGGCCATATATTCATACTCCTGGCCGTGAATCGGGGATTATCTATCAGGCGTCTTGTTGATTTACGACCACGAGCAAACACAAGCCCACGAAGTGAACCAAATTCAAGTCGAAATGTGATTGAAAACTGATAAGCCGCACAGGATTGCCTTTGGGCCAGGAGCGGGCGATATCCTGGGGGGCGGAGTGAGTGTCACGTAGGTGTAAAGGGGGGTTATTAGTGTAACTGTCAACTGGGCGAAAGTGTTGAGTGCCCGTCCATCAAACTCGGTTTGCGGGCAGTGGGTTCTGGCTTCAGATTGGAGATTTCCGAAGGATGCCCCGCCCCGAATGTGTCATGTTTTATTGGGACTGTACGGGCACTAAGAGAAATGGTTTTGAAACACTCACGAGTAACCTTTAAAGGGCTTGAGATTACCCCAATAGATTCTCCCAGTGCAACCAATGTGTTAGCAATTGAGACCGCCTCCCTCTCGGCCCTGCTGATGCCTTAATTTACCACTAATTTGTGCTTATCTTGCCCCACTCTCCGGGGGACGGACAACTTTGTGCCACATGCTACGCCCGAGTTGCCGGCTGTAGAAGCTGCAACACAGGCCTGGGAGTACCTCTCGCCATGGCAACTCATTGCCACATTTGCTGGCCATGCAAATCGCTTTAGTGACGCCCGTTTATGGGAAATGGTTGCCTGGCCGGCAATCTGGGGGCTTCTGGAAATGGAATCTTGCCAAGCTCAGCGATCAGTCAAGCATTTATCTAGAATTCGGGGAATCTGGCAACTTCAAAGGCCACTATGTTGCACCTAGGCTGCAAGTACTACTCCGATAAGCGGAACGGAACAGAAAGTAGTCGGATTGCATCTTTGTTTAGTTAAGTGTGTAAGCCTCTTAATCAATTTTATTAATAATTACCAGCCGGATAGCTGGACGATGCGAAATGAAGGGAGGCGAGAAACAATGCCAAAACATTCGTCAACAATTACACAATTAAACTCGGGGCCAAATTGCCCTGAGAGGACTGGGCAGAGCGGAGTGAACTCTTAATGGTAATTCACTTAAATAATCATTAGTCAAACAATTTCCAGGCTCGAAAACAACAAGCCGAAACCCTTTCCCCATCCCAGCCCAGCCTCGACCGCAAAAAGTAAAATAATGTATTCTTTTTGTTCGTGCTGTTGCTGTTCTTATTGTTGCGGTTCTTATTTATGGCCCAGAACCCGGCCAGGAATTGTGCTTTACCCCCTTTCGGGGGTAGCACTGTGTCCTGAGAGGTCTTCTGATTTGGATTCTGGAGTTTTCTGGGCTGAAGGGGCCACTCCAATTGAAATTCAAGAGCTCACTTCATTGCCACTTAATTTCTGACGCTGCGACTCAATCGAAATTATAAAAGAAACTCGACAAACAACCCTCTGGGCATAAACTTTGCTCTCGAGCTAACATAACATTTAATTTAAGGATTTTTTGGGGGAATAATATAACTAATAAGTCATATAATTAAGAGGTTATTAAAAAGTTATCATAATTTTAAGGCACTCCCCAGTTGATGTTTGTGGGTGCAGTACGTTTACCAAAAAAAACTACCATTTCTAGCAATTTGCTTGGTATTTCTCTTGAGTTCCTTGCATGTGGCAATTATTCAATTATTTTCAGAGTCATAACCAACCCTGAAACCCTGAAAACCAGACCAGAAACCAGAACTCCTTTGTTGCCATTATCATCACAGCTCTGGCCTCAAACCGATTCTGGCAGCCAGACAAACACTTTTCCTTTCCTTCAACGAGCCTCGGCTGGTGTGTCTGTGTGTGATTGTATCCTGCTCAAGGACACACACGGGCTGACTAACCACGGCCACGACCACGCCCACACGCCTGTAACCGCTTCCTCCCACCCCACACACCTCCCGCACCACTTTCCGGTGCAAATG